CTACACCAGCCCCATCCTATTTTCAGTTCTTTCATCTTTGCCTAAACCCAAAGGAGGCCTAGGAGAGCACTACCCCATAGAGTCTAGTTTAAATAACAGGGGTAGCTTTCTTTAAAGGTAGTGTGGCACAATGGAAAGATCGCTGGCTCTGAGTCAGAGGACCTGAGTCCTGATGCTTATTACCTATATCACTTTGGGCAAGTCACCTAATCTCTTTTGGTCTCAGCTTGCTCATCTAGAAAATGAGGGGTTGGACTAGATGGTGTCTTTGGTCCCTTCTAGCTCTAGAGCTATGAGTCTAGATTCCGGAATTAGTTTAAAGCTATGGGACCCTTGACCCTGCAATAAGAGCAAAGCTCCAAAGGTTTCTAAAAGATGCAGTTTGTTAGAACTGGCAATCCTGATTACACTGTGCTGAGATCATAGGAATTACCTCTGAGGGGGTCCTTAGAGATCATCATCTCTCTTTACAGATTAGGAAACCAATGGGGAATATGACTTGGGCAAGATTCAACTGCAGGGCTTCTGATTCCAGATTCAATATTCCTCCTACTCTGCCCCATTCATATACAGTGTCGATGGGAAATAACACTTTATTGTAGAAGCTATAATATTCTTACTGTGTGTGGGTTCCCCCCCATAAGGATGGTGAGGCCACTCTAGCCCAGCACATTGACGGCCTCTTCCATGGAGGATTTGTGAGAGGACACGGAGAAAAGTTGCCCAGGATGAGTTGGCATGGTTGGGTTGTATTCTGTACCTTCAAAGGAGGTACCTACATGGCTGAGATCATGGATCCATCGAAGTTTAAGCATGGAAGTATCTTACACATCATCAATCTAAGGAAAATAAGAATTTTTTTTAAGAGTACATACATGACTCTCCTCAACATTGCTATCCACCTTTCAAAAGGAAGAGGTTTCATTATCCTCATTAGTAGCTGATATGGGCAATGTGGTTCAGTGATATGAGCACTGACTGGACTTGGAATCAGAGGACCCACATTCAGAAACCAGGTCTGTTACTTATGCATGGGATGAGGAGGTTCTGATGAGTTATAATCTGCACTGAAGGAGACTGACCACGAAGGGGGGAATCACAGAGCTTGTCACCTCCTAAAGGGACTACCTTGAAGAGCGATACTTATTTAGATATGTAAGTTTGTTAACAAGAGTAGACCACAGTCTTACAGTCATACAAGTGACTGAGAAGTGTAGTGAATACAAAATTCTGATGCATTTATTATTTACTAATTAGACATGGAGCAAAGCCCAACCTAAGGCCCCAATAAGACTTCTCTGATGTTTATGTTAAAGTCAAACAAGACTCCTTGAGAGAAGAAACCACAAAGATGAATTTATTCAATGATCCTTAGATTTCCAATAGCAACTCCAATACTCCACCACTTCCAAACGAAGCAAAAAATAGGAAGAAGTTTGCTTGGCAAAGGTGTTGGCCATCATCTTGAAGGAGAATCTGCAAGAGTCCCCATAGAAAAGGGATTCCCTATGGAAGCTGAGGACTTCCTGTGCTTTTGTTTCCTGATGACGTTGTACCAATGGCATCAAGTTCTGGAACACTACAGTATCCCCTCAAAAAGATTCATGGTCATTCAGAGATCAGCCTAACAATGTATCCTTGAAAAACAAAGCGGGTGACTCCATATTGCCCCCACGATGATGCACAGTTAGAGTGAGCAGAGGTGTGAAAAAGCTAAAGGAATTAGAGAAATATAAACTGCTTTGAGAAAAGCAGTCTACCAGTCAACAAGCATTGATTAAAGGCTACAAGCGTCAGGCATTTGGCGGTAGGGACACAAAGACAAAGAAAATTTGAGGAGGAAAGACATGGGAAGATGAGACTATTCTGAGTGGAGGATCTGAGGAATACATAAGAGAAGAGAAAGGATTTTATTCGTCTAGAGTTCAGAAGGGGACTAAATGTCATCACTTGAAGAAGAACTGGAGAATGGCAATGGGGTATTATCCAAAAAAATCCACGACTCACAAGTCAGAGCCTGAAGACAGGGCTAAGTAGAGAGAAGGGATTACAGGCAGCCCCTGGAAGAGATTGTTTAATTCTTTAAACAGGTGCAAGCGTGTGTATACTTGTAAATTCCCTCCCCTTAAAGTTGTCTGTTGCTGCTTGTTCTTCATTTTCGAAGAGGACCAATGACATCAGGGGTGATGTCATGATTCAAACTGGATTGAAGTGAGGCAGAGGTGCACGAAGTCATTGGCTTCACTCTCTCTTCCAGAGTCACCAAAATCCAGTGGCAAGATGACTGGCAATAAGCCAGGATGCAACGGATGGCCCCGGTTCTCTGATATCTGACCAAGCTGTAAGTGCTCCACAGCACCTACTTTAGCCGCCAATCATGGCTGTTGGAACAAACTGTTCTCATCTGCCCATTCCACTGAGGGAAGTCTTCATAGGCTTGGGGTAGATATCCCCCTGACTCACTGATGGGCTTGAGGTCTGCTGGTTTACCAGCATATGGCCACTGCACATGCTGCAGCTTCTTGGAGCCACAGGGGAGGGCTGAGTGTCAGGTAGACACTAAAGGTGGATGAGCAGTCATGAAAAAGGCTTGGCAAGCCTTCACATCAGAGGTGCTGGTCCTCTTGAACACCCCAAACCTTCCCTTAAAGTTTAATTATCTGTTTGAAAAGAAAACACGAGCTGATGTGCAACGAACAAGGTAAAAAGTGGGCAGCAGAAGCAGCAGTAGAGAAATGTTGGAATTCAGGGACAAGATCTTTGGCAGAGATATTTCTCTGCTTTTTGACTCTTGTGGTGTTAGGGAAATGTGAACTTGGATGAGCAGGGGAGCCAGATTCCATTTCGATACAATAAATTTGTCAGATTCTTTTTGTTTGTTTGTTTGTTTGTTTTTAGGCAATTAAGGTTAAGTGACTTGCCCAGGGTCACACAGCTAGTGTCAAGTGTTTGGTCTGAAGCCAGATTTGAACTCAGGCCCTCTTGACTTCAGGGCCGGTGCTCTATCCACTGAGCCACCTAGCTGCCCCAATTTGTCAGATTCTTGACAGAGAACTGATTTTGAAAATGGAAAAACCATGAAAACCCTGTGTACCTGGTTGGAATGGAGGGAAGGGCAATGAAGAGCACTGGGGTAGGAGCAATAAAGTCACAGTATAAACTCTCAGCCCTGACAATTAATAGCTGGGTGACTGAGGGCAAGTACTTCAACCTTTCTCAGCCTCAATTTTCTCGTCTGCTAAGTGGGGATGAGAACACTTACAATGACTACTTCACATGTTTGTTTTGAGAAAGGTATTTTGTTCTTTTTATTATTATTGTGGGGGGTGGGAGAGACTGTAGTGCACCAGAAAGAGCACCAGGTTTAGAGGCAGAGTACTGAGATTTGTATCTTGACCCTACACTCTCTTGCCGTGTGGGCCTGCTAAATTCTCTGTGCCTCATTTTCCTCATCTGTAAAATGGAGATCACAAGAACTGTATTACTCATCTCACAGAGTTATTGTGAGGAAAGTACTTTGTAAAACTGTAAATCATTACACAACTGTCAGTTACCTGGACAGAGCAGCCGGGCAGCACAGTGCACAAAGCGTTGGTCCTAGAGTAACTAAGACTCATCTTCCTGAGTTCAAATCAGCCTCAGACATTTACTAGCTGTGTGCCCTGGACAAGTCCCTATTTAACCCTGTTTGCCTCCGTTTCCTCATCTATAAGATGAGCTGGAAAAGGAAATGGCAAACCACTCCAGCATCTTTGCCAAGAAAACCCCAAATGGGGTCACAGAGAATTTGGACACAGCTGAAATGACTGAACAACAACCTGGACTCAGTTCTCATTTCTCTACTTCCTACCTGTATAATCTTGGGCAAGTCATTCTTTGGGCTTTAGCTTCATCACTGTAAAATGGAGAAGTTGGATTGGATAATCTCTAAATCCCCTTCCAGTTCTAGTTCCTATGATATGACTCAGAGCAGAACCTGGAGGTAAACTCTGGAGGACTCCACAAAACAGAGAAAGGACACCAGGACGCGTCAGTTCAGGAGCAGTGAACTGACTTAATCACTTGTGTTTCCCACCCATGTGCCGAATTAACATTGCACTTGAGGTCTACATTCACTCTCCCCATGAACATGACATTTCTTCGTGGGAGAGCGAGCGATAAGTTTATGGGGGACATTTGCTGTAACTATGGCTCTTGCTAAGCCATATGAGTAAATACCTTTGCTGAGAGCTAATTAAATCCACGGGACTATTGCTGATGGGAAATACAGGGGTTGGGGCTCATGAGCTCTGTCTCTAGAAGGGCAGTACCACAGGGCACATCTTTGAACGGTGAGAGCAGTTGCTCTTCTGGGGACCCAACCTGGAAATATAAATGTAAGTTGGGAGAGTGTCCCAGAAGCAATGCTACAATAGTTACTAGTTTATAAGACTGGAATTCTTAACCTAGGATCTGTGAACTTACGTTTTTAACATATAATTTCTGATAACTATATTTCAACATAATTGATTCCCTTTGAAATCCTATATATTTTATTTTATGCATTTAAAAAATGTTATTCTGAGGAGTATGTAGATTTCATCAGAATGCCAAAGGGATCTATGACACAAAAAAGGTTAGTAACCCCTATTATAAGAGAATAATTTTAGTATAAGGTAGAGCTGGAAAACACACTGAACTTGAAGTCAGGGGAAATGAACTTGTAGTCAGAGGAAATTTGGTTTGCATGTTTACCTCTGACACATTAACTGTGTTGCTATGAGGAAGTGACTTTACTGCTCTGAGCCTCAGTTTTCTCATCTAGAAAATGTGTAAAATAATGCCTTTCTCATAAGGTTTTTGCGAGAATTAACTGAGATAATGTACATAAGCTGTTTAGTAAACCCCAAAAACACCACAAAAATGACAGTTATTATTACTAAGGTAGGAAGTTGATGCTTATGTCAACAATAAAATAAACTTTTTTACTTTTCAATATGTATTTTGAAGAGAAAATGGCATTTTAAGGCAGTAATCTCAAAGAAATTTAATTTTCATACATTCAGTTCAGTTTCTCATAGAAAATGTGGTCATTTATAGAATTCCATTCAACTTCATGAGTTGCATGCACCATTTAATTACAACATATAACAACAATGAAATTAAATGATGTTGTATACACCATTTAATTACAACATATAACAACAATGAAACTAAATTAATTTTGCCTTGATTTGAGGGGAAAGCCCTTATCTTATCCTATAGGAATTTATGATGCCTTCAAAACCCTGTAATGGGGATGGAAGGAAGGCACATGTCCTAGCAGTCAAAGTAACCTAGATCATGGTCATTGCTATACATGTAATTATAATTAGCATTCCAATTATTTAAACTGAGTTGTTCTTGATCAGATTGAATATATTGTGAATAGATTATTTCTTTTCCCAAGAACAAAGGTGGGGAGAGTCTCTGAAGGATGGCCTCACTGAACTGATAGGTTAGCTTCCTGCGGATTTTTACAATTTCTCCAGTTCTTCCATAGTTCCTCAAGGCTCTGGCCATTTTCTGGTAAGTCATGGTCTTGCGGTTGCCTTTCCTTCTTCCCCAAAGTTCTGCAAGTTTCTCTTTGTTTTTGGAAACAAACTGAAAGACCCCCTTTGACTTATCCACCCACTGGATACAGGACGCCATCTCAGGATCACATAAAGACTCATGAAGGTATTCAAACAGGCGGAGCTTCTTTCTCCCTAAATGTAGAATAAAAGACGTCATGGATTGGAATACCCCTCAGGTGTACTAGGTGTAGAGCAGCAGCTCTGTAAATGGATTCTGAGTGAGTGCGCAGTGCTAGGAACAATTCCCTGTCCGTGTCACCTTCTCAGGAACTGATTTTATTGGAGTGACCTGGCACTTGAAGGCCCATGTATTAGGCTTCTAAGGCCACTAAAGGATCCCAGAGGTCCACCTCCAAGAGAATTATCTCAGATGTTAGCTGATTATACCACAATCTGGCACACCAAATTTCAGTTTGATTCCTTGTTAGCAAAGGTATTCAAATTTTTACATATCCTTCATTTGTGAAGAAACTTACGGACCTCTTATTGGTATACGGGGTTATTTATTACTCTATTTTTTTAAAGTAAGTCTTCTCCAATGGGTTTCGGGTTCACAGTTAGACACCAAAGTTCCTTTGAGCAATAGCAAAGTGGACAAAGCAGATGATATTCTAAAAAAGATTATAATAAAACCATTTTCAGGATGAAGACTTATGTAAAAAAAAGGCTTAGTTTAGGGAGATGAGAAAAACAACTTCGGGTTTGTCATATGTCTTGAAGAAGCTATAATGTCATAATGTATAATGTAACGTAATAAGAGACAAGTTACAGGATACGTCACCAAACCTAACCTCACCATTTACTTATGAACCCAAACTTTCTCAGAAACATTGGCCATGCACAATTTGGGGCCATTTTGATAAGGAACATAAAAGGTCATTTTAGGTATAATGACATTTTTCATTGCCATGAAATATATGGGATTTTTTCTAATAATCCCTTTACAATGCAGGGTAAATTAAAATTCTGGCCAAGAAATCTTGATAGATGTTTATGCCCAGTGGGATAGAAAAGGATATAAACCTTCCTGATGAGTAGGAGAATAAGTGACTTACACAACTGTGACACAAGCTTCTTAGCATCAGTTTCTACTTTTTATAAACCATGGCACATTGTGAGCAAAACGGAATTGTGGATTCCCAGGAAATTGCTCTACTTGTCTGTGTAGAAAAACTCCATGGGGAACAGTACTCTTGCATCATCCATCATTCATTCAAGAGCTTCAAAGGTTTTGTGACTAACCTTCTCTTTTGAATGCTCTAATCTCCAGTTTAGGAACTGGAAAACATAAGGGACTTACCAGAGGCTACAGAATGAATTAAAGTCAGACACAAAGAGAACAGAACTGTTCTGACCCCCTGGCCACTACGTGATGCTTTCTACGTTTTCAAATCGTTTCCAACCAGAGCCATTTGTTAAGCGGCTAATTTCATATGGCCTCTTAACTAGGCAAAATACTAAGAGAACGTACTAAAAATGCTCACTGAGCTTCAGGAGCTCACACTGTATAAGATTATGAAAAGAAATCCTGAGCAGAAGGCGGCCAAGTCTCCCTCCTTAGGCTTTGAATATAAATACAACAATCACAGATAGAGGACCTAAGACGCATTTTGCAAAATGCCTGTATATCTTTGTAGGAACTATGGAAGATGAATAAGTGAAAAAAAATTATCAAGAGTTTCCTATGTGCCAAACACTATACTAGGCAATGGGGATCCAGATAGGAAAGAGAGACAGTCTTTGCCCCCAAGGATCTCAGTTTTAATATGGGGAGACAATATACCTAGAGGAATGGGGGCCAGGGAGGGGAACTCTGGTCCTAAAAGTTACAGAAATGGTGAGTGAGACCATGGAATGGATTGACACAGCCCTTCCAGGAACAATGACAGATGTGAAGCATTGTACAGAGTTTACTATAAAGACTGGGACCATGTGGATCTGACTACAACTGATTTTGGCATGGTACATCTGTTGACAATGTTGATTTATTCACTTAGCAATGATGAAAGGAATATTTACAAATACACTTAGAGAAATTATGATATGAAACCTCCTTGAAACCATTCTAAATAAATATACTAGTACACTGAATCAAAGATTGATTATCACACCTTTTCCGCCTCTTTGTTGGACAGGAGCAGTTTGCACCCCCTGGTTTTCAGTCATATTCTGCAGAGCATGATGGATGCTTCCTTCAAAATAGAAGTCAGCAGTACTGTTCTAATGATAAAGTAAGATAAAAATTTAATCAGCAGGGAACCCCCCTGAGAGATGAATGGATCTATTAAGAGACCCTACAGACATTTTCCTTCTCCAGCGGTTGCTACAATGTGGTTGGAGTGGCCCAGTTTAATCAAAACTTAATTCTTTCCTTTGAATACAGGAAGGATCTCTGAGCTGATTATTAACAGATGGTAAGGCAGAATACTCTGGTGAGTCACCGGACAAGTCCCCACTGGCCTGCTGGGCAGCTTGTAACCTTTGTAGATTTTTGAGGAAAAGAATGAGCAGAGCAATAACCTATGCCCCTGAAAACTCTAACTTGTGGCCTGACAGGATGAGTGTTTGTGGGCCTACTTTGTAGAAGCAGCCTGGCCCTGGCTTATGGGAATGGGACATCAGCATCGTAGTCGTCATCATAACAATATGTATTATTATTATTACAGTAACAGCTAACATTTAAGTGGTGCTTTAAGGTTTGCAAGGCAATTTATGAATCATCCTATTTGGTCTACCGAATAACAGGTTCACACCTGATAACATTTTTGATGATTCTCCTACACTTAATCCACGTGGGTTGTTTTCTCAGGCTCATTAACAAGTGGCCACTGGGACGCATAGTTGCAGTCAATAGGTTTCAAATGAAAATTCAGCTGTTATCAAACGGAAAGGAACTTGCCAGTTTCCAACACATGACCAACCTTTCCCACCACCCTTACTAGTTTCAATACCGACAGGGACACTGGGCCATTCTAATGACTAAGGAATGCAATCATGCTAAAACTCTACTTACAATCACAGTTCTCCAGTTATAGACAGTTTCTTCTGTGGGAGTACTCCATAACAGCTGGGATTTCCTCTGAGATGAGGATAATGATTGAGAAAAGTCAAGTAATTTTTGTAATCTAATTGAAAAAAAAAGAAGAAACTTTAAAAGTTATAGTTAATTTTTAAAATTTTATGTAAAACAAATTTCCTGGAGAAAGAGGCATTCCATTGCCATTCAGAGTTGCCTTTTATAAGCTTGGAGTTCATTAAATAGAGTGATGATGAGAGAAAAAAAAAAGCCCCAAACCAGAGCAAGAATAATAATTGTGCATGACGTCAGGAAATAAAAATTGTTCTCTATGGAAGGAAATGAGAAAGTAAATAATTAAAATTCTAAATATTAACACTTCAACTTGAATAGGTTTACAAGGTATGATTTAGAAATATTCCTTATGCAAAGAAAACACTTGAAAAAATCCCATAAAAACAGAAGCCTTACTACTGACCAAGAAGGCATCGTTATCTAACAAAAATGGCTTTGATTTTATTTCCAGATATACAAAACTATTCTAAGATGAGGCAACTAGGTGGCATGGTAGAGAGAATGCTGGTCTCAGAATCAAGAAGTCCTGAGTGTAAATGCCACCTCAGCCACTGACTAGCTCTGTGACGCCGGGCAAGTCACTTTTGCTATTTAAGCTTATTTCCTCATCCGTAAAACGAAGCACCTGCTTCACACAGTTGTGGTAAGGATCCAAGGAAAGAACACGTGCAAAGCACTTTGCAAACCTTCAAGTATTATATAAATACTGGCTATTTTAAGTCCTGCCCATATTGCCAGAAGCACAGGAAACAGTAACTACTTCCCAAATTGCATCCAAATGTATATCCAAATGTGCAGGTGTATAAACGACCCAGATGACTTGAGGATGTTTCTGAAAACACTTTTCCTACTGCTCAATCTACGTGGGGACATTTTTTCACCATGCTAAAATCTCAAGAGGAAGTCTACAAACAGTGGGATGGTGAGCTCGAAATGGCAATTGGGAGAGGGAACATCTAGAAAACCATTTATGAAGTGAAGGCAACCTAAACACCAAGGCAGGGGAACACTCCCATCACACTGATCGTTAGCTTTCCCATCAAAGAACCACAGGATTTTAGGGTCGGGGTGCTTCAAAGACCCTCTAGTTCAGGAGTTCTTCACCTTTTCCATTTCATGGCCTCCTTGGGCATATCCATATGGGTCTCCTTTTGACCCTTTTTCAAAACAATGGCTTTAAATGACTAAAACCAAATTCACACACTCTCCTTCAAAACAACATGATTAACAATACAGTATTATTATTATTATTATATATGTAGTATGCACAAGGTAATTATGTTATATTATTAAATAATATGTACTATAATAATATTATATAACGTAGCAGGTACGCAAAACACCATGAATGTAATATGATTAATAATACAATAATAGTAATTAATGATATAGCACTTTCCAGTTTACATGGTACTTCGCATATATTCTTTTTTTTATCTTCACAATAACCCTAGGAGTAATGGAGTACAAGTATCATTTTTACAGATGTAGAAACTGAATGAAATACAGTTAGGTGAAGTGATTAGTCCAAGATCATATGATCTTGGCATTACAGCTTAATGGGATTGTAAAAGCCATCTCTTCCAAACCCCTTACCAACTACTGAGTGTCAAGCCCAGGACTTAAACCCACGTCCTCTGGTTCTAAATCTAAAACTATTTCTACCACATTACGCTACCTCCTAGTGGATTGTAGTGTATTAGTATTGGGCCATTTCCTTAATCACTGTACCTAAAAGTGAATTGTAGTGTAGCAAATAAGCAACAGACAGCAAAAAGGAAAAAAAGCAAAAACAATGCTCCACAGGTACAATAGTACGGCACAATGTTGGCAGATTTCAGTATTTAGGGGGATCACGAGGACCTCCAAGAATGGTATTTTGGGGGTTGGGGTGGGGGATGGGAGCAGGACTGCAGGGTAAATTTCTAAGAAGTGTTTTCTGAATAGCTAGGGTTTAAGCTTCCATTTTAAAAAAGAGGTACTGGATAAATACAACATCACCAGCAACAGTGACTCATAATTCCAAAAACAAATTAACATCAACTCTCATGACAAATAACTCTGTCCACTGGGTCAGGGTTTTCTGGCCTTTCTATGTGGAAAGCCACATTGCCACAATCTATACCTTCCATCATAAGACTTTAGCTTCTAGGTTGAATTTCTTTAGCATGGCTCTCCGGGGACACATTCTGCCTCAATAAGAATGACCATCACGGTCTTATCACCTCTGTCTACCCCTCCTAGGTCGCTCTATCTGACCCCTAAAGTCCTGGAAGGTCCAGGGAATAACTTCTGGATGGCTTATCTTTACCTGGGGAATACTGATGGTCCCCAGCTGAATGTTGCTGCATTACCTCAAAAGCATCTTCGAATGCCTGACCCAGCATGTCTTGTTCCAGCCAGCTCTGTAAGAGCAAGGAGAAATCATTTGTTTACTAAGCCAGTGTTCAATGTTCACTTGTTGTTTTTTACTACAAATTTAAAATGCAGTATAAAATTTTGAATGACACATGAACACAGGATCTAGTTTCATAGAGAAAGTCTTGTCATCCTCGAGCACCATCGAATCCAGCAGAAATTTTGTCTTTAACAAAATAGAGGTAAGATCATAGTGAACAAAAGGTAGAGGAAGTAACTGGTAATATGCTTTTTAAAAGAAAGACAAAAACAAGAAGTCCCTTGAAGTTTGGGGGATTTTTTTTCAGTCCTGACCTATAATTCCATGAATGCAGGGATCTCCCAGTGAGGAAACTCCCTCTATCAATGCAGATCTACTACTGCTCTGCAACTTATTGGTTCAGAGTATAATTGCCTGGAGCAAGGTGAAGTGACTTGCCCAGTCAGTATGTGTCAGAGGCAGAACTTGAACCCAGGTCTTTCTGACTCCAAGAACTGGTTCTCTATTGATTAACCCAGGATGTCTCTTACCTGAAAAAAAAAAAGAAGAAGAAGAAGAAGAAAAGAAAGAGATTATCATTCATTTGTATAAATGGGATTTTTTTACTAATAAACCTTAAAAGCATAATAAAGGAATGTTTTAAAAGCAGAATTTGCAAACTGTTATTTTTAAACCATATATACTTATTTTTAAGGGAATAAGTATGGGGAAATAAAATTGCACCACTTTATAAGGCAATTTACAAAGCAATTTTTCCATTACTAACGAATCAACTAGGAAGAACATTCCACTACAAAATTTCCTATGAATATTTCATCTTTAAAGTGGAGAAGGAAGGAAAGATCAAAAAAGGGAAAAGGTAATGAAAATGGATTAATTAAACTTACCATGGCTTCATTAACAAAGTGGTGCCTGAAAAAAAAATTAATATTCATCCATTTAAACAAAAAAATTGTCAGGAATTTAGATAATTATTTTTGAATTAAAAGATCTTGAATCATTTCAGATTTGAAAAGTTTGGCTTTATTGGAAAAGTTGATGAAAAATTTATGAAATATAGATTCTGGCTAACTAATTAAAAAATGTTTAAATGATTCCTCATGGTCTTATGAAAAACCCTTAGAATAACTTCCAACTTTTTCGTTATTGAAATATTTAAAAAAGACTGATCAGTAGAATAAAAATTGTTATTGGCTCTTAATCTTATTACCTCTACTATTTAATTTTTGAAAGAGAATAAAATATACAAGTGATTTAATATCAAGTATCGGAGATCATTAAGCTTTTCAAAAGTCCTTAAGGCACCGATAATATCTTCATCTTACCACAGTGCCACACATATACAACTTCACATGAACTCTCCGCTTCTGCAAACTGGGATATTTGACAACAAAGATTTTGAAGATAACCCGACACTATATGTTTTCAGGAATGCCATTTAAACCTTTATTCAGTAAGACTACTAAGACACTGTTGCTGATTTAAAAAAAAAAAAGAATGAGTTCATGGTGGAGTAAAAATTGCTTATCCTTTAATTTACACATAAGGCAGTTTTAGTTATACAAATTCCTAAAATTTTACTGTTAATAAATTGTTCCTTAGCAATTAATTTCAAATGTCCCAATTCCTTTGTGTGTGTGTGTGTGTGTGTGTGTGTGTGTGTGTGTGTAACTATATCATACCAGACAATCAAAATAAGGTGAAAGAAAAAAAAGCCTTCATAATTTTTGTTTAAAATGCTTTCAAAGGTTGATATCTTAATTCAAAAACATGGAAATAAACAGGTTTACTTTATTAAGCTTTAAACCAGGATACTGATAATAATAATATAGGGTAGCAGTTTAAATTGCAGCCTTAAAACCAAAGTTGAGTTCTTTAACTAGAAGACCCCAGAGATCTCTTTCATGAAAGAGCTGAGATTACTTAGAGTATCAATGAAGTAAGGCCTTGTGCTAACAGCACTGGCAAAACTGAGGAAACAGATGAAATCAGAACCAATAACTTGGACAGTATTACATACTTCAAGATCCATTCAGTGACCAGCATTTATTGTGCTGGTAGAGAAAAGTAAAGGTTGTATTATACCTTGAAAAACATAAGCTGAACACTTACCAGGAAGGAGACTTTCCGTCCTCTACCAAGATGTTTTCATTAATAACATAAAAGGCTGAATTGTTAAAGAGCAAACTGGCAAGGCTGCATTAAATAGGTGGTTTTGGGGAAGTGCTACAAAAGGGGATTTTTTTTTAAAAGATACAGGGCCTTCATAATTTCTATTTGATGAAATGGACGAGACACCAGGGACTGTTATTATGAAAAGGCATCTCTGTTCAGTTCTTGGACCCAGAGCATTATAAACACAGTAAAGTGAGAAGAAAGTGTTTTATAAAGCATTTCCGGTACAGGGAACTTTTGTATCTAATATCTCACTTGTACTTCATCACAGAGATATGGGCTGGTTTCCTTGATATATGGAACTCCCTGGTAAGGAAATTCCTGATGCCAATGCATGTTGATGACCTTTTCTGCTGGGCACAGCATAGTGTAAGAGAGCTGCCTGGAGCATACCTGCCCAGGGTCACAGAGCCAATGTCAGAGGCAGGACTGAGGCCCAGGTAGTACTGGTGCCCAGGCCAGCTTTCTATCCTCTTCTCTGTTCTTTAAAACAATCCTGTGAAACAGGTGGTGCTAGCATTATCATCTCCATTCTACAGAAGAGGAAATAAGGCTGACAAGTCATACGACTGGTTCAAGGTCACACTAGTAGTCTCTAGTGTAGCTAGGACTTGAACCCAGATCTGATGCCCAGTCCAGTACTCTCTTTTTAAGCCTGGTCCTCCCCCTATCGCCCCGGTTGGAAGCCACTCCTGGACGCGGTTGCACAGCTGATTCCCAAAGCAGCTTTGTTCCGCTCCAGGTCAGCAGCCTGGTGGTGAAACCTCTCTCCTTCCTCAGCAGGCTCCACCATATTGGAGCTGGACTTAGTTCAAAGAATCACCTGATCTGATTAGCTCAGAAATCCCGAACTGAAGTGATCCACTAGCGTCAGCCTGCTCTGGGGCACCACCAAGGCCAGACAGTTTTCTTTCTGTTAAACTATGATGCCCTATGAAACAAACTCCTAGTACCCAACTGTACATATTTCTGAATGAAGGGAGAGGAGATTTCCATTTGTCGCTGTGTCTAATTGTGCCTTGACAGACATTTTGTCCACTCTGGTTCACTGACGACAACCTGTGAGGCACTTAACCCTGGGTCCTATTTTCCTCCGCTGTAAAATGGGGGGGTTGGTCTAAATGGCTTCTAAGTCCATTTTAGAACTAGATTTATGATCCTATGATCTCAACAAATGATAAAAACAGCTCACATCTCCACAGCACTTTGTAAATGATAAAATTTCTACAGCATTTTTTAGTTTACAAAGTGCTATTGTTACTACAATCTTGAGGGATGGGCAATGCAAATATTGTTTTCCCATTTTACAGATGAGGAAATAGACTCAATTGTTACTAGACTAATTGTTATGCCCAAGGTCACCCAGTGAACTAGCAAAAATGGAAGGAGTGCTGAACTTGGAGGCACAGGACCTGAGTTCAAATTCTGGCTCTATCTGCCTGGTCTTTGGCAAATCACTTCCTTTGGGCTTCAGTTTCTTCCCCTGTAAAATATGGGGGTTCAACTAGGTGACCCCTAAGTTTAATTTCAGTTCTAGATGTATGACTATAAATATGAGACTCAAATCTGGGTCTTCTGCCTCTCAGAAAGCACTCTATTGACTGAGGCATAAGAGGCAGGAGCATGGTGCCTTCGGATAAAATGAGTGATGTGACCTTTGTTATTTTGAATATGAAAACATAACCCTAATGAAAAAAGCACTGAACTGAGGTCAGGGAGACCTAGGTTCTGACTCTTTGTGTTTTTATATACATAACTCCTGTGCGCCTCAGTTTCCACAATTGTCCTCAATAGCCCTCACAGCTGTCATGATGATAAAATGAGACTGAGAAATGCTCATTGATTGACTGATTGATTGAATAAATGGTCAGTCCAGTTCTCCAGCAGCAATATACCCCCTGAAGCTACTTCACAACTTTCTTGATTGACTGTTTCTCTTTGGGGGAGCCAAATTCTTCTATTCTTGTGAAAACCCAGGATGGGTTTTGTAGTGTGTATGTAGTTTGTATCAAAACAGAGAGACAGAGACTCAGTTTTACTATATGAAAAATAACAGTGGAAAGCATACAATGTTAGAGCAAAGGGTAATCTTTAGCCCTCAGGCCCCATGCACCGTCTTGTGAACCTTGGGGTGGACTTGTTTCATACTTGTATAAACAAAAACAAACAGACGTGATTTTGTTAGTACAGTGAATATGGGCTTATTCTGATTTTCCTGAGATTTCATGCAACTTTTTTTTTAACCACCCCAGCTGCTGTAATGTTGTTACATAAAACTCAGCAAAACTGCTTCTCTGGGTAAAGTGGGCCTCATGTGATGCAAGAACCTCACTGGGGATCAATAGTTTCACCCATGGATTGAATCAAAACATGCCTCTTGTCACAGAGGATGGATCCTTACTTAGGAGACCAATTAATCAGAGCTGAGGAGCTGAGTTCTGGAACCAAACATTTAAGTGCTTAATAGATTTTCCAACCAGACAACAAAAACTCATTAAATTGTACTGGCCCTTGGTTTTTGGTTTTTTTTTTTTTTTGATTATGACATGTAAAGGAAACAAAATATTTTGTGAGTTGACTTCTATACGTAAGTATTATGGGGTGTGGGGTGCAATCACTTTTTTAGCTTTGTGCATATAATCTCCACTGTCTCCAGTAGTCTGTGGGGACTCCTCCTCGCTGGGCTCTGCTGCCAAAGCAAGACATTCCCACCACCGCTACCAAAATCAAGCATTCCACAGGCTTGTAGATTTGAGAATAGGAAGAGACCTCAGAGGACGTTGAATCCAATCCCTTCCTTTAAAGATGAAGCAACCAAGGCCCTGAGAAGTTAAAGGACCTGACCAAGACCCACAGGCAGCAACTGGCAGAGCTAACAAGTGAAGTCACTTCCTTTGACTCCAAAACCCGTGCCCTTTCCACTGAGAATTTTAGGTTAGAGCAGTTTTCTATACTCTATTTGATGACTGGAAGAGGACAACGTATAACTGAAATCTCTTTCTAGATTCAATGGAAAATTATGGAATGGAGTCTGACTCCTTCCTTTTGGTCATCAAGTGGCTTATTGACAACTCCTCTTCGCGGTGCAGTAGAAAGGGGATGAGCTTTGAAGTCAAAAGACGCAGGTTCACACTCGACCTCTGCCAAGGGCTGCCTGTGTGACCTTGGTCAAGTTCCTTAACTTTTCGGGGCCTTGGTTCCCTCATCTTTCAAAAGAGGAGAATGACTCGAAGTCCTCTAAAGTCCCTTTCCATTTTAAATCTATGAGCTGATGAAACTGTCTGAGATTTACTGTATTTTAATCTATTGAGGACAGAATGTGCTTAAAATATTCACAGCAGTCATTAGTAGATTCTTGTGGTTGAAATGTTTGTGGAGCACATGGGATTGACAGATTGCAGAATTAAAGCTGAAAGGAACCCAAGGAGTCTTCTAGGCCAACCACCTCATTTTACGAGTGAGGAGCCTGAGGCCCAGAACAGTGAAATGACTTGTCTAAGGTCACAGAGGCAGTAGGGGAAGGTTTCAAATATTTTTACCCCTTTTGACACTTCCTTGGAACGGTGGCTAAAATGCTGGCAGGAGTTATTTATTTTAAAGACACCACGTAGTTATAAAAAAAAAAATACTAAATTCTCTCCTAACATGTTAGATCTTCTTCCTTGACTACTAATAAAAGGTATAGCTGATAAAAACAGTTTATAGTACTTTAAGATCTGAAAAGCACTTTAAAATATGTTATTAATAATAATGTAGTTGTTATTCTCAGTCTGCTAATAAGAAATACAGTGTTAGGGGCAGCTAGGTGACGCAGTTAATAGAGCACTGGACCGGGAGTCAGGAGTACCTGAGTTCAAGTTTGGACTCAGACACATGATTCACTAGCTGTGTGACCCTGGGCAAGTCACTTAACCCCAACTGCCTCACAAAGAAAGAAAGAAAGAAAGAAAGAAAGAAAGAAAGAAAGAAAGAAGGAAGGAAGGAAGGAAGGAAGGAAGGAAGGAAGGAAGGAAGGAAGGAAGGAAGGAAGGAAGAAAGAAAGAAAGAAAGAAAGAAAAGAAAGAAAGAAAGAAAGAAAGAAAGAAAGAAAGAAAGAAAGAAAGAAGGAAAGAAAGAAGGAAAGAAAGAAGGAAAGAAAGAAAGAAAGAAAGAAAGAAAGAAAGAAAGAAAGAAAGAAAGAAAGAAAGAAAGAAAGAAAGAAAGACAGTGTTATTGTTTGTCTGTTTACAGTTGCCAGATATGACACCTCACCCAACATAAGCAACAGGTCTTGAACTGCTCCAAAGTGATTGTGTGGGTTTCTGTGGCAAGGAATGAGGAGGAGGAACAGAACATGACCATCTCCTGCCTTCCGGGACCCCAGTTCCCTGTTCTGAGGACATGCACTCATCCACCTGAGGCTGGGGATTCAATAATTTAGAAACCAGCACATCCGTTGCTTAAGATTTTCCAGAATAGCTTCAGATGCATCTAAGGGCAATGAACTTCTGCAAAACAGTAATAAGTTGCCAGCTCCACAAATGCCACCAGTTACACCCTCCGCTCACAACCATTCTTGGCAGAGCTCCTCCCTGGAGTCATAGGGACTCCAAAATAACACTTAGGTAATGTTGGGGGTGGGAAAGAAGAGACAGTAGAGGCTTAATGAATTCTTTTCTTTTAATTTTTTTTTCTTTGAGAGGCAATGAGGTGAAGTGACTTGCCCAGGGTCACACAGCTAGTGAGTGTCAAGTGTCTGAGGCCACATTTGAACTCAGGTCTTCATGAATCCACGGCTGTGCTCTATCCACTGTGCCACCTAGCTTCCCTCCCCCAATCAATTCTTAAACCCTAAATAATAAGGCCTTGAAAAGAACATCTTTTTTAAAAGTTAATTTTTTTTCAATCAGCAAAAATGTGCCTCCTCTTTCTCCTACCCAGCTCCATTCCCAATTCAAACAAAAAAACCCTTGATACAAACATGTACAATCGAGCAAAACAAATTTCCAAAAGAAATGAGTATTTAACTGTGTATATATGTATGTATATATACTTATGTATTTACAAATATACTTATATACTTCTTTTGGAAATTTATCTGTACAAATATATACATATCTGCATATGTGTAAATATATACACATATGCATAATA